TGCTTTTTATGCTATTGTTTGTTTGTGTTTGTTGTAAAAAATAAAAAATTTACTAAAAAAATAATAATATCAAAATGGCAGGTGTAATTGCATGTGACCCTTGGACAAAATGTGTGGGGCTTTGATCACGTGGTCATGGCTGCCATCTTGATTTTTTTAACCCCTTCTGAATTTCCGCCATCTTGATTTTTTTAACTGCATCTGAATTTCTACCATCTTGAACTTCAGCAGCAATCCACTGACAAACGGAGATGTGATCTCCTACTGACTTCTGTGGCCCAAACCTAACAGATCTGAGAAAGCTAATATAGATAACAAAAATAATATTACCCAGTCCCCCTTCATGCAAATCCTTTCCAAAGTCACAGCCCAACCTTCTTATATTAATATCACATTATCAATCCATAAACTATGGTTCTTTTTTACCCCTATTTTTTTTTTAAAGGAGCATGGTTTAATTCCTGCCTTAAATTGGTAGAATGTAAACTGGTTAACAGAAGCAAAGCAGTGGCTATACTGCTCCCCCACCCTCAAGATCTGAGCCAATGTTTCTCTACCTTGGCCACATGAAGATGTGTGGACTTCAACTCCCAGAATTCTGGGAGTTGAAGTCCACACATCTTCAAGTGGCCAAGGTAGAGAAACCCTGATCTGAGCTATAAAAATCCTGGTGGCCACTAGATGGCAACAAAGAGACTATTTATTTACTATTACAACTGTTTGTATGCCACCTCTTTGAATGACTGAAGGTGGCTAACAATGGTACATTGAACAATCCACAAAACTGAAAACGTTTGAAACATTAAATCTTAAAATCTTGGGTGGGGGTTGGCGAGGGGAATCTGCTGTCTTCCATAAAATTCACTCTTCAAAAGTCCTGTGGAAGAGGAAAGTCTTCTCCTGCTTTCTAAAGGATGAAAGAAAAGGAGGGGGCTAGTTTAACCTCTAAGAGGAAGCTGTTCACAGAGAGGAGGCTGCCACTAAGAATGCTGTTTTCTGGGTTCCCACCCCCAAATCTTTCTAGGGGCAGGTACCTGCCACATCTTTTCCTTGCCAGATTGTGTAGCCTTCTACCTGGAAAAGATGGTCCCAAAGGTATCAGGCGCCCAAGCCATAGAGAGTTTTGTTTGGAAACCTTTTGGCAAATGTAGATCTCCCCAAATAGGTGTTACTCTGAACACCTCCTGACTTGAGACTGATGATCTGTGCTCCCAGATGTGATTTTTTTCTTGTAAATCATTTTGTGCATATTTATTTAGAAAAGAAAAGTAAACATAAACAAATAAAATGACTGTGAAAGACCCAAGCTTCAATGAATACTACAAAGTTATATGAATATAAAGATTTCTCCATTAGAAAAGATCTCCTCCCCTTCCCTTTCTTCTCTTCATCCAAGCTACTCAGTGAAATGTTTCTGAACAATAGGGTATTTTACCTTCCCAATAATCATATAAACTGAAGGTAAAACAGAGAATGTTGTAACTGGTTAAATATCACCCATAGAAAACCCCATGCTGAGCCTGGATTGAATCCCTGCCTCTCCCTAGAACAATATTCTGTTCTATCCATTAATCCTTACAGTAGTCTAAGATGGTTTTCAGAAGCTGAAATCTGGAAAGTTCTTAAAAACTTTGCTGATCCTGATACTACATCCTCTATTAAATCAGGTATATCAGGTAAAGATGGCAACATAACAAAATTTCTTTGGTAAGGTTGAGAGAGAGCCACCTTTATTGTTCCTGTCACCACCAGCGTTAGTGCCCTAGTAGTCCCATCACAATAACTTTGGCATCAATTTACCTTGACTGTGTTCTGGTTCAGAAGAGAAGAAGAGTTGTCTTCAACAGCAGAGGAAAGTGCCTGCTCTGCCAACTTGAAAAATAATCTCTGCTCTTGCTGCTTTTCTCTCCCTGCATGGACAAGCACAGAATTGCTCTCACCCTCTCTTGGGAAGCTTTAAAAGGAAATAAAGAAAAAAGGGGGGATAAGGGAATTGGGCACGCCTATTCCAGTTCCACTACTCCTGGTGCTGTTATAAATATAACATTCTAGTGCCAGGAGATGAAGTCAAATTTCTGACGTCAACTGGATAGTCAGTCCGATGGCTGGGTGGGGAAGGAATCTTTGACTGGCTCACCTCTCAACAGATTCTATTGCCTTTTATCCAGTCAGCCAATAATTTGTACAACGTAGGGCTTGAGAAACCTAGAGGTGTGGGGCAAGGAGATCCCCAGCCCTAGATAGTACCTTTGTGTATTATTTTTGTGTACAAAACTGACCATGTCTAGTGGGTTCCTGCTTTCTCCATTGTACTCAGTAGTCTTGGAGCAGAAGTTGATCATACTTTCATACTTGAAATTTTTCAGAAATTTCCTGGTCTTGTTTCCCTAAACAAATGTGGGGTATGGATTCTTTTTGTTTGTTTGCTTGTTTGTTTTTAGATTTTTTTAATCCCGACTTTATTATTTTTATAAATAACTCAAGGTAGCAAACATACCTAATACTCCTTCCTCCTCCTATTTTCCCCACAACAATAACCCTGTGAGGTGAGTTGGGCTGAGAAAGAGCAAGTAGCCCAAAGTCACCCAGCTGGCTTTCATGCCTAAAGCGGAACTAGAACTCACAGTCTCCTGCTTTCTAGCCTGGTGCCTTAACTATAGACCACACTGGCTCTCAACCAAACGGGCTCTCTTGCTTTTCTTCTTCAGGTAGATTGCTTGTTTAGCCCTCCAGATCATCTAAGAGAAAATATACAGAGGATGTACTGTATATCCACAGATACTTCTATACCCTGTATTGGAATACTTTATTTATCATGGTCAAAATCAGCACAACTGACTATGCTGTTGTACATAATATGGCAATGCGGAAAGGGCAGGTGGCCTCCAAGACAGGCTGTGAAATTCATGATACATTGTTGTGTCAAAAGCAGGCTCCTTGTGTGAAATCTGGCCTTAGAATGCAGGTCTTTACATTTGCAATTCTAGGTTTTTGACACAGGCTCTTTCTGATTTGCAAATGGCATTTTGTTATTGTTAGAGCACATGTCCTTTCCCAATTCTCACTCAGAATACAAAATAGAGGAGAACCAACGGTTTTACCTTTGGCATTTTTTCACCTATGAGTTAATGGAAGGGGTTGAAATCTACCTAACTTTTGATTAGATAGAGTTTGGTTATAGTAGTGTTTCTCAACCTTGGCAACTTGAAGATGTGTGGACTTCAAGTCCCAGAATTCCCCAGCCAGCATGCTGGGAGTTGAAGTCCATGCATCTTCAAGCTGCCAAGGTTGAGAAACACTGGGCTATAGATTCATAATAATATCTTCCTAATCTGAGTATCTACTCAAGAACTTGAAGATGTGTGGACTTCAAGTCCCAGAATTCCCCAGCCAGCATGCTGGGAGTTGAAGTCCATGCATCTTCAAGCTGCCAAGGTTGAGAAACACTGGGCTATAGATTCATAATAATATCTTCCTAATCTGAGTATCTACTCAAGAACTTGAAGATGTGTGGACTTCAAGTCCCAGAATTCCCCAGCCAGCATGCTGGGAGTTGAAGTCCATGCATCTTCAAGCTGCCAAGGTTGAGAAACACTGGGCTATAGATTCATAATAATATCTTCCTAATCTGAGTATCTACTCAAGTCTTATGATATTTCAAAAGAAGATGCATAGTCTAACTAAGCTGCTAAGACACTGGTTGTTCTAGAAAGCTTGGGGGGGTTGATACAGTAATAAAGTGGGTCCCCCCCCCAGCAGTTTGTGGTTAGGGTTGTTTTCCTTTGTGTGTTAATGGACAGGAAGGTTTATTGTTGTTACTGGTGCTACAGTGTCACTATGTTTTCCTTATCATTATATATAAGTCTCTAAACCGCTTACAAATAATACAAAAATATTTTTATTTTATTTTTGTATTATTTTGTATTATTTGTAAGCCACTTAGAGACTTTTTGGAAAGCAGTGGAATATAAATTGCAGTGATAAAGCACTTATAGCCCTCTGGCCCCTAAACAGCATCCTATCTGAACCTTGAGGACCCAGTTTGTGGCAATCATCCAGATAACTGCAAATAGATGGTTGGGGAGAGACAGCCCACGATAATAGCAGGGGTGGTTGTGGAAATGCTGGACTCTAGCTTGCTAGGATGACAAACTAAAAGTTGATTAGAACTTCTGGTAAATCTTTCACTGAATATCTCCCAAAGCCCCAGCAACGAGCATGGTCATACTCGGAGGGCGGGGGGGGGCTAATCAGGAGCACGCTTCAATCTCTCAGATGCTTTTACAATAATTTGTCGCAAATGTCATTCATTCCTTTATCTCCCTTGCATTGCTAAATATGATTAACATGGCTTATATGTGCAAAATATCTATTTTCAAGTAAATTGATAATGTCTGAAAATGAGGGTATTGAAACGATTTGGCAGTTTTTGTCTCAGGGGAAGAAAGTGTCACAGAACAAGTCCAAATACAGAATTTATTGAAGCCCCAAACTTACAGTTAAATACATGTCCACTCAATCAGAAGAATGTTTGTTTGTTTGTTTATTGTATTTATATGGCCATCCAGACAATGTGACTCTAGACAGCATGCAAAAGGAGAACTAGACCAACAATGCAAAATAAACATATCATTAAAAGCAAATAAACAGGTAAATGGTAGACACAACTGAATCTGCTATGACTCTTAAGATTGGGGATTCTACTTATTGTAACCCAAAGGCTCAAGGAAAGAACCAGGTCTTAACTGCCTTCCTAAAGGTCTGCAGGGTTGGGGCAAGCTGTAAGCCTTACCAGGTAGACCAGACAGGAAATACAACCAGATGAACTAATTCTACTTTATTGTAAAGCTACATTAACAGAATCTTGCAAGTCTGAAAGTACAATTTTCCCACCATCACCTTTAGAGCCCAAGAACTTAAGGTAGGTCCCTCCTAAGCTTCTTGTTCTAATCAACATGCAGCTGCAGGCTATGCTGTCTCTTATCTGATGATTTGCTAGGCAGCATTTCTTCACCCCATCTCCCAAGGTATTTCCCACATACCATTACAGGGTATGTGGGAAATACCTTTGTAAATATTGTACCTGTAAATATTATTTTCCTGTATATGTCAGGGAAAAGATGGTTTCAAAGGGCAGGAAACCCCACTGAGAAGGCTGGCCTCCTGGGACCCATAAGATAACATTGTTCCAAGGAAGGGACCCAAATATTCCCTTCCTATCAGAGCATGTGGGACGGGTACATTTGGGAGTAGGCAGTATCACAAATAACCCAGTCCTACACCATGTAGTCTTTATAGATGATAACCAGCAACTTGAATTGCGCCCAGAAGTCTAGTAGAAGCCAGTGCAGCTTGCAGAGTAGAGGTGTCACAAGGGCATAATAAGAACCTACCACATTCTGGACCAATTGCAGCTTCTGGAGGTCTTCAAGGACAACTCCATGTAGAGCACATTAAGTAAGAGGTGACTAAGGCATGAGTGACCATGAGCAGGTCCTCACTGTGTTTAGTGTTTAAACACAGTGTTTAATTCCACTGTGTTTAGTCGGGCTTACTCCTGCTAAACACAGTGGATTAAAATGTGGTTTCCTTCTCAACCCTCAAAGTTAATAGTTACAGCTGTATCTTATAAGGGCATGTGGATCACAACTGCAGAATTATTGGCTCATTTTTGGAAGGCAGACATAATTGGGACACAGAAAATTCATCCAAAATTTATATAAGTTTTCAAATTGTCTACATTTCTTTACTGGGTCAGGCAATACAAAATACCTCATGAAAACTTTCAGGAAGCTCAAAAGCTTACACATCCCTTTAGTGTATTTTTATTGTTCCCAATAAAAGTATTGCCTAACTGAGATTTTCCACCATCACAATGGACTAGCTCAGCTAGCTTTGTTATTTAAATATAATTAGGACAATAAACTGAATGACAAATATTATTTTCCTGTAAACTCTGGGTTTGATGAAAAGCATAGCTGATAATGTTCTTAAAAGCAAATAGTGACACTGGGTTAAAAAATGCGTTATAATTAGAACAGGTCTGTGACTTTGATGACTTAAGTCAGTAACCAACCTTGTTAGGTTCTTAATACTGTATTTTTATACTGTAATCAAATTATTAATATTTTTTAGTATTCCAAGTATGTATTTTTAAAATTATTGGCTGCTAAAGCTATTGACTTAGCTTTCAAAACAATGTTGTGTGAAGGGAGATAGTTTTTAATGTTACTGTATTGATGGATACTCTGGGTGGTACATTTTGCTGAAGATAAACTGAGGAATAAATTATTTCTCTGTGCACAAAATCAATAATCTTTCTCTCCCCTAAAATGTCTGCAGTCTAAAAAAGATATCTGCCTTATGTCTAGCCACGTTGCAATGCTAATTGAAATCACCAACAAAATTTATCTCAGCTTTCTTCCTTAAAGCTTCCTGAAACAAATTGCTCACCTGATCGCCTCAGCCAAAGAAACATCCTAGCCTGGCGAGGATTTCTTCAGATGAAACATGACTTCAATGGCTGAAATAATGAATGTTTTATGTGAAGAAATGCAACAGGAATTATTGATTGTTTAATAAATGAATTCTTTATTAATAAGTCTTTACAAATACTGTGCCCAGCTAGGTGGAAGGGGTTAATTAACCTTAGTTGGAACCAGCTAATTCTTGGATGGAAGACCTCTAAGAAATAGTAACACTTTGGGCTAGCCTGGGAAGTTGGAAAACATCCTGGAAGAAAGTAATGGCAAATCATCCATATTCATGCCAAAAATTACATGGACATGTTCATAAAGTCACCAGAAATCAAGCTCAACTCAGCAAAGACAACCTAAAATCTGAAAGCTTTTTAACAGATGCACAACCCTTGCTCTAGAACCTTACCAAAGGCATATTTCCTCCCAAATCAGCAGCAATAATGCAGGAGAAACATTAAATCCTCTTCCTATTCTCTGTGGTCCCAACTTCATTAGGGTTGCTCCCAAACGCTATTTTCAATTTTTTAAAAAAACAAATAGCTTGCTACATACCGTACATATATGTCAGTACACTCCATATTCCTCCTAGTTGGTGGGATGCAGGCAGCAATATGTTGGCTTACAAGGTAGTCTCTAGATTAGAGATACTAGCTTGCATAGGATAGCATAAGCATGTTTGGGGTAAAACTGGGTTTGGGTTGCAGTTGCAGTTGTTGCATACTGACTAAAATATCCCAAACAACCTGACCTGACTTTATAATTAGCAGGAGATGCTGCATGTGACACAGGTATGATCAAGGCTGGTAACTTAATTTATACTTTCTCTCTGTTATTAAAAATGTTATGTGAAAGTCTTAATTGAACAAAATCATGATGAGTAGCAGAGGTCGATATCTACTATGGCATATGGAAGGGTATGACTTGGAATATAAGAAGAATAAATGGTAAAGAGCATGAATTAACTAATGAAATGGATAAAAGAAAAACTGATAGGTTGGGTTTCTGTGAAATTAAGAAAAAGGAGAAGCTTGTAATAGAACTGAATGAAGGTGGTCTGATTTTGTTAAGTACAGTTAATTAGTACACTTCTATGTACTTAAATGTAAGGTAGGTTTAATTATGAAAGAAAGCGATAAAATGTATATCATAAAATATGAATTGGTGCCATCTAATTTGTTATGCACATACCTGAAAGTAGGGATTGATAAGTTGATGATAGTTAAGATCCAGAGAAGAGTCTGGGGGAAAAAAATGCACACCATTCCAGATGAATGTGATCTGTGGCAAAAAGTTAGATGACATGATTGGATGGGTGGGAAAGAGATGAGGTGGAACTGATTGAATGAAAGAAGAATAAATCAAAATGGTGATTGCTAACTACGTATCTGCTTAGAAAAAGATCTGTTTCTTTCAAATACATAGCTTAAGCATGTCAACATACCCATGGCAAAAGAATGAATATACATCTGGAAGCATGATTGATGTGATTGTTTATGATGAAAGATTGAGAGAATTTATGAGGGATAGTAAGGTGATGAGATGTTCTGAATGTGGAGCAGACCATTTTTCGTAATGTTAAGAGTGGACCTTGGGGGGGAAATAGATATGGAAGAAAAGGAAAGAAAAAAATAACTAGAGTGAAAGTGGAATGCCTGGAGGAAGAGAAACTATGAGGCTGAATGAACAAGTATTAAAGGATAAATTGATTTCCTAGTAGAATGAATGGAGAGTGGGGGCTAATGGGAAGACTGAAAAAGGATGCATGGGGTTAAAAGAGAAAAGAATGCAGATCAGAGAATGATTGCTGCAAAAAATGAAGATAAGAGAAACTTGCTGTTTAATACTGTATAAATATAAAAAGAAAAATATAGCTTCAAAGAATGTAATCAAAGAGAGGAGTGAACAGTTAAAATTAAGAGAGACAGAGAAAGTACAAAGTGATTTTGATGAAAATTTAAAAATATTTTGGAAGTGGGTGAAGACAGCTAAATAAGGAATTTGCATCACAACAGATGGAATTAAAAATAAAAGTGATTAAATTATTGGGTGAAACTGAAGTAAGAGAATATTGGAAGGGATATTTCAGAGATTTCTAAGGGAATGATAGTGATATTTGAAAGAGTAGAACTGAAATGAATGTCATAAATGTTGGTAGCCAAAACAGGAAATGATGAAAAGGAAGTCATAAATGCTGTGAGAACATTGAAAACTGGTAAGATTGCAGGTGTAGATGGTGTAAGAAATGTGACAATACCATCTGCTTATCCAGTGTCTATGTGACTTGTTTAATGAGTGTGCAAGGATTGCATCTGTGCTGACAATTGACAGATGCTGTTATTGTTCCTCTATACTGGAGTTCCTCAAACTTGGCAACTTTAAGGTGGGTGGATTTCAACTCCCAGAATTCCCCAGCCAGCCTTGCTGGCTGGGGAAATCTGGAAACTGAGGGCCACCTGTCTTAAAGTTGCCAAGGTTGAGGACCCCTGCTCTACACCAGTGTTTCTCAACCAAGGAAGGGATGCTGTTATTGTTCCTCTATACTGGAGTTCCTCAAACTTGGCAACTTAAAGGTGGGTGGATTTCAACTCCCAGAATTCCCCAGCCAGCCTTGCTGGCTGGGGAATTCTGGAAACTGAGGTCCACCTGTCTTAAAGTTGCCAAGGTTGAGGAACCCTGCTCTATACCAGTGTTTCTCAACCAAGGAAGGCTGGCTAGGGAATTCTGGGAGTTGAAGTCCATACATCTTAAAGTTGCCAAGGTTGAGGAACCCTGCTCTATACC